CAACCAGCCTTCAATTCGCTCTTTCACCACTTTACCAGCACCAAAGGAGGCACAAGCTTTCTATAAGCAGACTAGAGGTTTTGTGCAGAGATAAAATGAACGTGTTAGTGGATTCAAGTAATACACTAATTATTGCACAGTATAAATACCACTACTGGTTTTATAACAGGGAGGTAAACTTCTTTTGAGAGGGTTATAGGATTGCTTGGCAGTGGTGTAGAACCTAATAAGGGCCCAGAGTAATAACCCCCTGGATTAACAAAATTGCTGCTTGTAGAAGTATGATTCAGACTTCTACGAAGATTTCCAGAGAATGAATAAAAATGACTGAATGACATTTCTCAATGTACAACTGGTAATCACTCCCTTTTCTTTAAAGGAAAAAATGTATACTTCAAACTGGACTGTTAATAACGTCTAGGGAACACAACTTCAATCTCTCAACCCCTCCCTCCCCCCCCCCTCACAACTTCCCCGCCCCGGTCAGGTGACAGCTTTTCTTCTCCCCGCCCCCCAGCCAGGCTGCCACTGTCACTTAAATACATAAGCAATTGCTCCGTGGAACTCGGTGTTCCAGAATTACCATTTTAGGCCCCATTTAAGACCCCCTTCATTCAGACACACTTCTGTGTGTACACATACGTGCATGCTCACGTACACATTTTTTTCCTCTAAAAGCAAGTTGAAGTAACTTACGTATAATTTCCTTTCCTCTAACGTCAGCCCCTTTTCCATTCTAGTAAGATCTTTGCACTCAAGATGATATGAAAAAGAGAAGTACAAGTGCCTTGTCTCTTGGCGTTACAGATCAAAACCAATAATAGTAAGTGTTTGCCCCAATGGGGGGGCGGGGGTAGTAGGAGAAAAAAAAGTGGGAAACTGGCCGGGACCAATAGTGGTGACTTTAGCTGAAGACTGAGTTTCCAGTCCCAAAACCTTCCTTTTGGCGGTCACTCTCCTTAATTCATCCACTTAACTATCTTCCTCACACAAACCTAAGGTGTCCTCCCTAACTGTCCACAGTCCAGCCCACGGGTAGCTGGTGACGGAAGAACACTTAGGGGCACCTTCTGAAAATACGTTGCCAACTGCTCCCTTCTTGCCTTGCCTTTTGGGGCTCATTCCGGATCTGGCTAGCCTGTCTGAAAATGTAGCAAATTAACTTAGCCCTTCCCCTCATCCTTCCCACAGAGGCCAGACCGGGCTCCCTCACCCCTCACCCAAAATGCTGTAGGGGTGGCCCTGGGAAGGCGGGTGGTGGGGCATTTCGGCCTGGGTGTGATAGGGAACAGCCGTACCCCCATCACAGGGGCTCTCCCGGACTCCCCTGGGCTCTGCACGGCCTCCTCTAGGGTGGAAGAGGTTTGCTTAGGGTTCCGGGGGGGGGGGGTCAGCCGCTCCCAGCATTGTGACTGCGTTCCCAGATATTGGGGCCAAATTGGGTTGCCATTCATTAATAATGCTCACAATAAGATTAAATCATTCTGGAAAATCTCATAAAATCCCCCTAAGTACGCTCCAGTGGCTCTTTCCAATCCCCATCATTCAGCACTTGGGGAGGTTTGGAAGGAGAAGAAAATTGGTTTCTTTGCTTCTAATGCTGCTTTGAAAAGATACTCAGAGTTTGTCATGCGTGACATGTCACATGTTTAATGTGGACTTGCTGGAAGTCAGGGGGTCTTTAGCGTGTGATATTTATGGGGAATATTAAGGGCAGAATGAGGTCCCTCCAGCTGGGGAAAGTTGAAAGAATAGGAGGCCCAGGACCGGGCTTGTTTGCGGCATCAGAATGACATAGGATTAAGAGTTTGTAAAACAAGGCAAGGGGTTCTCATTGGCCAGTAATAAATGTAATCCTTGGAGGTAATTTCACGCAATTTGCTTCTGCTCCATGGAAGGGTCAAATGAGAAAAAATGACTTAAAAAAGACTTCATTAACAGGAAGAATGGTACTGTTTCTCGTATACCATCCAACTGGCAGCCTGGAGGGGGGAAAAAAATCCGCTACCTAGACAAAAAGCCAAAATCGACGGAAAATTGATAGCGATCACCAAAAAAAAAAAGCCCTTTCCCTCACGCCCCTCCTGCACTTCCCCGTCCCCCCCCGCACCCAAAACTCCCGAGTAGCCCTGCCCACCCCAGGAAAGCGGCCTTCACCCCAGGAGACCCTGTGGAGTCTGAAGGCTTGAGACACTCAGACCTCGGGGGATGTCCTAGAAAGTTCCCGCCGGGCCTGCAAACCCCGAGAAAGGAGCGTGCGACGTAAGGGCTGAGCGGAGGTAGTTGGCGCCTACCCCCGGTGCCCCGGGGCCGGGCCCCCGCTTGCGAGCGCCGCCCTCGCAAGCCCAGGGCCGGGGCCGGGTGGCTCACCGCCAAGGTCGACGGCCAAGGTCCGGGGAGCCCCCTCAGCCCTGAACCCCGCGAGCGTGCTCCCCAAGGTGTCCGGGGGACGGGGAGCTGCGGCTTTCCGGCCCGGCGGGTGAACCGAGGACGCCCGAGCCGGAGCGCGGCAGCTGCAGAGCGCGTCGCCCACCCCCGAATCACCGCTGACCTCTGCCCGCCCCCGCACCTGCCCCTCGGCCGCGCACGCCTGCGCCCTGGGCCGCGAGAGGACCCGCCCCCCCTTCTCTGGGGCGCGGCTGGGGAGCGAGCGCGGAGCCCGGCGGGTCCGGCCCGGAGACACGCCCGCGACCCCCGCCGCGACCGACTGTCCCCCGGCCT